CCACTGGTGCATCTGGTGCACCTTCAGGTCGCGCCTGCTGCTGTGGAACAAATCCATCACACCTGCTTCCTGGTGGGTGTCGATCTGGAGGTTGATGTTGATCATCAGGCGGTCGACCAGATTATTGGTTGGTCATGTTGCTGACTTTGCTGTTGGTGATGCTGATGACCTGGCCGCTGATCCTGTTGAGCCAGGTTGCGCTGGCCGCTTCGTAGGTCGACTCAGCCACGCGATGGTCCACCACATCTGAGGACGGGTCAGTGAACTGTAGCGCGCCCGCCTCGTTGCTGGTTGCTTCGGGCAATGGACTAGGTAACCTCAGGCTCGGGGTCCGATTTTGAAGCAGCACGTAGACATGCTCGCCCTTGCGCAGACACCGGGCAAGCCTATGCCATCGAGCATGTGAAATTCGACAGGGTATTGTCCGATCACCAGAACATCCATATATCGCCCTGCTGAAAAGGGCCCTGGCTGAGGCCTCGCCATTGCCAGGGCGCGCCTCCGCGGCGCCGATGGACTCGCCGCCCCAATGGGAAACCTCCGACTTTATCTGCTGTAGATGCATGTGGCTCCAGAGCGCAGGGGGGAACGTCGCTGGGTCGTTGTCTGGGGTGGCAAGGCTGCCTGGCAGCCAATGTCCAGCTCCAAGCGCCCATTGCCGCGGTAGGTCGCATGCTGCACTCGCCAGCTGGTTACATGCGCGACCCATGCCTCGTGCTGCTGCTGCAACGGCATCTTGGCCACGGGCGTCTCCAGCCTGACGCTCGTCGCCATCTCCTTCCGGTAGAGCACCTTGATCTCGACCGGGTTATCTGCCAGTGAGCTTCAGGGGCTGCGTTGTTGATCGCGAGCCCGAGGTCGTCGCGCAACGCCTCAAACTCGCTGATCCTGCTACAGTGCCCATGGCGCCCCAGCGCAGGCGGGCCATCCGAGCTCGAACGGCCGCGAACCAAGGCGCAGTGCAGTCCGACGCGATGCCCGCCACCACAAGCACCACATGCATTTTCTTGACCAGGTCGGATATGATCATGAAAACCATGGTGGTCTCCATTGTGCTTGGATGAACTGCCGTGGGTATTGCTGCCGTCCTAATCTGATCCTGGCAGGCCGTGCATCTGAACGGTCGTGCATATGTTCGGAGGCTGTGTCAACCATGCTGTAGGCAGCGCACCATTGGCTCCATGCAGGGCCCATGGGCATGGCACTAGTGTATTTTTTGACATCTATCCGCAGTGCTGGTGGCGCTGCCACCCAGTCCGCCATCTCGATGCCATCGCCGCGCCTGCTGAAGATCGTGGTCGCGCTTGCGTGCGTGGGTGCTTCTGCATCTGCTGGATTTGCCACGGGAACGCCCATAGTCGCGCTGGCCAGCTCCCCCGCCCAATTACAGCGATTTGATGCTGTCACCATCGACCGCGCTGGCGTGGATGCGCGCGCCGTCGCGCGTCACTTCATTGAGCGCATTTCCCAGCATGGTCGCCGTTCCTTGGAACCTGGATCGTCTTTCTCACCGGCCCCCCCGCGTCGTCCGCCAGGCTGCGGCCGCCCGCGCGCTGATCGGACAACGCGCCCTAGAACTCGCCTCCAAGCCGCGGCATGAGCCCCCGCGCCTCGGAGGTTAGCGCCCCCCCCCGATAGTAGATGTGGCCCCCGAAGTTTTGAATTGATCCAGACCTGCCTGAAAAACCGCGAATACGCGCTGCTGGCCGCCAACTTCCTCGCCCGGGTCGCCGTCGGGAACGCATGGGTCGCGTTCGTTAGCGGGTCGCGCGGGAGGCCAGCCGCTGCGATGCAGAGGCCCCCCTCGCCCAGGTTCTCCAAGACCTTGTCCTGCGCTGCGTCGTCCAGCAGGTAGGTCGTCTCCTATCAGCAAAACTCTGGGTCGCGGGGCGCAATGTCTCCTCGCCTGGGCCTCCGAGGTACACGTCGTAACTCTTGCGTGCAGTGCGCAGATATACGGTCGCTTATCCCCAGGGACTGCGCGAAGTGTTTCCACGATCTGAATGCCCTTGTCGACCTTGTCCTGGGCACCCGCATCCCGAGTCTCGATGCGTTGCGTTGCTTTCGCCGCGGTGTGCCTGTCGCGACTTCGCGGGCTTCTGCATTCCAGATGCCGGCAACGACAGTGGCGAATGACGACGCCGCCCTCTTGGCCCCCCCCCTCGTCAAATCTCTGAGCGATATCGCGAGGCAGCCTTCCTCCGTCTTGTTCAGCAGCGCCCAGTGCCAGCTGCCCATTCCTACGGAGCCCGCCTTCACTTCCTTGATGTAGATCACGGTGTCGAGCTCGCCCATCGGGGGAATCCTCAGGATCGCCCGCGCCTTGGATTTCGGCAGTCTCTGGACGCGCGAGCCCATGCCAGCTCCAGCGAGCCCAGCTGTCACACATTGTTATCCTGCTACCGTGACTGGGGCGCCGTCGCTAACGCTTCTGAACTGCATGGGCGATCCTCCAATCCTCGCAGTGACCCCGACGACTTGAGGCGTCGCAGCCCAAGTGCCCCCGTAGACAGGCCGCGCGCAGCGCGGCGCGCCCTGCGAGGGCGGGCCCCTTTTCTCACCGCGTGGGCCTCGATGCCCTCCGCCTCCTCGCGCTATCTGCCGCCTCGCTTCTGGCGCCGGCGCCCTTGGAACGCGCGTCGACCCAACTCGCTGCCCCCGGGCGTCGCCCCGCGCGTCGTGGCGCGCGCCGTAGGACATGGCGGTCGAGCCATTCGCGGCAATCTCCATCGCGGCATAGGCTACCTGATCGAGCGGATGAGCCGACCACCTACCCTGCCCACGCACTACCGCGCCCAGTCTCCGTAGGCTGCGCTCGGATCTGCACATGATATCCTCCAAACTAACACATGCGAAGCCCTTGGCCCGATCCGACTGATGCCGTTGCGGGCGCTGTCGTCATAGCCTGCAGTGGAACGGCTTGACCACGTTCTCGATATATATATATATATATGTATATATATATATGTATATGATGCTGGCGCTGGATCTGGCGTTGCATGTCCCTCCAGATTCGCGGGGTGCTCCCCGAGTGATCCATGGCGTTCAGCGCACAGGGATTCTTGATCTCCACGTCCGAGTCAGTCTCCACCTTTGTCAGGCTGGTGATCTCTGCCGTCGTCGTATACAAATTCGACAGCTGGTCGCTGGCCCATGGGGCAACCCGCCGTGAGCAGCGTGATTGCCGTCGCCCTCGCGAAATCCAGCTCGTCGCATGAAACCTCCAGGTCGCCCGCGGAAGTCTTCGCGTCCGCCGCGTACTCCGCGTCGCTGCGCGTGGCTCCAGCAACTTGTTCATACTTTCTTTTCGCATCCAGTCAACTCTCCAGTGTTCTTGCTGCTGGCAAGCATCGTGATTTGTGCGCTCCATGGAATTCTGGAGCTTGCCCTCTGCCATATTGATGCTCCGCCTCCGTTGATGCTGATCTTCCGGCCTCGGTTGGACGTGCTTCGTCTTGCTCTCCGTCCTAGTCGATGAGCATCTGCCGCCGAGGTGTCGCTCCCCCCCCTTGGCTGATTCTCGCCGCGTCCACAACGTCAACCACACCCCCGCATGTCGGCTGCCAGCGTCTTAATCCGAATGGCTGCGGAAGCCGTTGCTATCGCAGGGTCCGCGCTGACCTTCGACTAAGACCTCTTCTTCGTCGTCTCTATCTGCGGGGTAGGCCCAATGCTGTCCGCGACCTCTGTCCGACTCGCCCCTGCCAGCGTGATCCAGCTGAGGCAGCATCGATGTCGTCACGTCGTCCTAGCTGTATTCGTTGCTGCAGGTCCCGAGGATTGCCCTGTGCTGCTGCGCACTGATGGTCGCCAACTTCAGCAGCAAGTACGCGCGCAGGTCCTTGCAGTGACAGTGGCATTCATGCGAAGAGGCCTCAGCACCTCACAGTCCGTCTCGCGGTGGCAAAAATGTAATCCCGCACAAGTTGTGAAATGCTGCCAAAACCTTTGGCGACACAGTCGTCGGATGCTTGCTCCTTTTTGCAACGGTGCGATCCTATCGCGCACCGCGCGTACCGTTGCCGCTACCAACTTTGTTGAATAAGGTGGGCCTGCGCCTGCTTGCCGTGGAACTTCAACCGTCGTGAGATCCACCGTCTTACTTGTGATATCCCCATCTCGCCGACTGAATGAATCAATTCTTCAACTTGGTGGTGGCGTATACCTTCTATTTATTTTCCTCGCTCGCGTGGTATCCACAAGTCGTGTTATATATATATATATATATATATGTTTGTCTCTCTCTCTCTCTCTCTCTCTCTCTCTCTCTCTCTCTCTCTCTCTCTCTTTATAACTATATATATATAGATATAGATCTCTCTCTCTCTCTCACTCGTTCTCTCTTCGCCCCCGTCTCCGTCGGCAGGGTCTCCAGTGTACTGAACCGCTCAATCTTGCCTACATAGACAAGCTCCTGATTCAATTGTTTGTTCGATATATTGTACTTGGCGTTGCTGTTGAAGTTCCTCGTGGTGTAGTAAACGCTGTCGTAGGTGATGTTGCGCGCGCAAAGAAACTCAACCACAAACGCGAGTACGTAGACAAAGGCCAGCATGTATGTCTGCATGGCCACCATGGTAAGAGATCTCGTCACCGTAAAACTTACCAACTCCACGCTACCACTGCATATCTGTTCCACCAATTTGATGCAGAAAAACATGAAGTTTCTATTCCGCATTACCCGATCGGTTGGAATAAACGCGTCGGCCCTCCCGTTCAGCTGCGAGCAGAAGCCTGACGGGTCATAAGGGGCGAAAAGGGACACACAAGCACGAGCGAACAGGAGCGGATCAGCAGCCCTTAGTGGCACATCTGTACCGTGCAAGCTCTCGCAGGAAGAAGATGATGATGATGAGGAGGAGGAGGAGGAGGTGGCGGACAAGGAGGAGGAGGAGGAGGAGGAGGCGGAGGAGGCGGAGGAAAAGGAAGAAACAAGGAGGCCTGGCCCTCGATCCTGGCTCGACGGCCCGCCACCGGAGCGGGCCCGCTGAGGCGCGCACGTCGGCGTCCGCGCCCCGCGCGAGGGACTCCAGCAGGTGCCCGAAGCTCTCGTTCCGGCCCAGCGCAGCGGCGACCTCCTGGGCGCGCAGCGGCGGCCAGGCTTGCAGACGGCGGCCCGCCCGGGGGTGAGGCCTCCCCGGAAGGACATGAGGACTGGGCCGGACCAGGCTGGATGAAGCCCGGGAGCACGCCAGATCAAGGGGGATCAAGGTGAGCTAAGCGGGGCCGCAGCGCATTGCGACGGTTTTCGGCCACGGATATACTAATGCCAATGCTGGTTCTTCTTGAACATGCCCGGTCGTTTTGTTTTAGAGTTTCTTATTCGGCCTTTTGGACATAATGATTTAATCGCTTGGTATCCCACTAAGGAAGGTAAAATAGAAACGCTGAAGCAACGGTGCTGTCTTTTTGGCGTCACAGGCTTTGTTTTTCGGGCATGTTCAAATCAGTTGGTTGCATTGTTTATGTAACGTTGCCGTGACCACCAGTATTGTCGGGCCCGATGGCCGATTGCCCCTCCTAGGGCCATCGAGCCTCCAGGTCTGTTTCGGGCCGGTGTTAGAGCGTGTTTTCCCAACCCTCCTGTGGTTTTTAGGTCCTTGTTTTGAATTAGTCCTCCCGCTGCCCCCTCCCTCCTCCCTCCTCCCATGCGGCACACCCCTCGAAAGATTCCTGGCCCCGTAAGGAGCTGCACCGAAGGCCCCAGTGGCAGGGTTCGCATGCAGTTCGACCCTCATGTCGGCGCACTCCTGACACGGTTCGTGGCCCCATTGGGAGCTTCGCCGAAAAAGCCCTGGTGGCAGGTTTCGCATGCAGTTCCACCCTCATTTCAGCATACCTCTCACACGGTTCGTGGCTCCGTAAGGAGCTCCACCGAAGTCCCCAGTGGCAGGGTGTTCCACCCCCATTTCCGCACACCCCTCACATGCTTCGTGACCCCACAGGGAGCTTCACCGAACGTCCCACTGGCAAGATTCGCATGCGATTCCATCCTTATCCCGGCACACCCTCACACGTTTCGTGGCCCCATGGGGAGCTCCACCGAAGGCCACAGTGGCAGGTATCGCATGCGGCTCAACCCTGAATTTCGTCATACCCCTCACACGTTCTGTGGCCCCGTAGGGAGCTCCACCGAAGGTCCCAGTGGCAGGGTGCGCATACGGTTCCACCCCCAATGTCAGTACACCCCTCACACGTTTCGTGCGCCCAGAGGGAACTCCGCCTAATTCCCCAGTGGCAGGGTTTGCATGCGGTTCCACCTCCATTTCGGACAACCCCTGATACATTTCGTGGCCACATAGGGAGCCCCGCCGAAGAGCCCCATTGGCAAGGTTCGCATGCGGTTCCACCCTTATTCTGGCATGCCCCTCACACGTTTCGTGGCCCCATAGGGAGCTCCACCGAAGGCCCCAATGGCAGGGTTCGCATGCGGTTCCACCCTCATTTCGACACATCTCTCACACGCTTCGTGGCCTCATAGGGAGCTTCACCGCAGACGATACCCACAACTGCGTCACCCACAACTGCAGATGGCTGTGTCCTTCGCCAGGATGCTTGTTTAACGCATTGTTAGCTCTTTGAGGAGAACGGCGGCAGAAACGAAATGACTAGAGCGAAAACAGCAGGAAGACAAGGAACAGCCTTCGATCAGAAAGCAAACATGTGAAACAAATGGTGTTCCACAGCGACGGGCCTAGCAACACTAACAAAAACTGAGCTCAAAATGTTCAAACACCGTCGAATTGTTTTAACGTGTTTTGCCGTTCGAATCCCAAAATGCAAAACAGTAAACAAAATGCCGAGGGCGTCTTTGATAAAAGAGATACCTTCCCGAGGGGCACCTTTTGGCAGGGCGACTTCATATCTGATGTGCCTACACGGAAGAAGGACAGACAGAACCGGCCTGCTCAGAAGGTGGCGGGGCCTCTCGGAAATTGTAGCGCCTCTCAAGACGCCGCCTGTGTTTGAAGTAGGTGGGAGGCACTTCTGGGGAGGTCATCGTAAGAACGAGTGAGGGCTTGGGCCAGATAAGAAGGGCTCTAGGCAAGATCAGGTTGGATTGAGCCTGGGATCAAGCCAAATTACATGGGATTCAGCTGGACTAAGCGGGACTAAACCGGGTTATCACGGTATTCGACCGCGGGTATACCGGCGCCGCTGCTGAATTAAACCTCGGACTGCCGACCTTGCGGACGTGCTGCAGCGGATTCCTGCGTGGATATCTGTCAATGCAATCCCCCGAAACAGCGAGCGAAAAACGAAAAGAATTTCACGAAACAAAATCCGCACGAAATTCGCTTCGAAATCCGGGACAAGATTCTCCAGGACACTCCGGACCCAACCTATTGCTTTCCGAATGAAAGCCGCTCCGCGATGTTGGCGCCATGACACCTCCCAGGAGTGGCACCCTAAAGGTCTCGCTGTGCAAACCTTGCGCCTCACGAGAAGCCGCCTGCGGCTTCGGAGGAAGCGGCCTGTACGCCTACAGGGCTTCCCGGAGGCCGTCCCCCTCCCTGCCCCCCCCATCGGGGGTTGCTGGAGAGGTGCCCCCAGCCCAAGTCGGGGGCGCGCAAACACGCATTCGCGATCCATGGATTTGGCGCGCGGTCGCCACATCCGTGGATCGGGGGAGATGCCCTCCCCAAACTGCGGCCGGTGCCGCCTCGTTCGGCGGCGGAAATCCGCGATTTCCATGGAAACGAGACCCGTCGCTAATCCACGCCCCCTTGATCCACGTTTGCGATCGCCTGACCAAGGTGCCCCCAGCTCTTCGATCAATGTTGGAGCCCCTGAAGCCCTCTGGGCCTCGCGAGGGGCGCTCTGGAGACCGCAGGGGCCTCCTTGGAAACCCTGGGGGCACCTTAGGCCCGGGGGCACTTCCAGCAGCACCCGACCCTGGGCGGGCTGCCAGGAGGGGTCCCCGGACGCGCGAGCATCGACGGGTGCCCAGATCTCCGACGTCGTGATCTGTTCGGTGCTGGTGGCGTGGCCTGCTCCAGCCATGCAGTCGACCTGTATCACAAGGATGCGCGGTAAGGATGCAAGGGCCTTGGAGGGCCATGTTGACGTTTGTCGAACGAGGTTGGCCAGCGGAAGTCGGTAGGGATGGGCCGAAGGGGCAAGGATGCAAGGGTACCCTTGGGAAGGTTGCCCATCCTTACTGTGCGGGTTGACTGTACCTCGGCCTGTGGGGACACATCTCTTGTCCCGAGGTCCACAGGCGAGCAGCTCGGACAAAAAGCGGGGCCTCTGGGGACCACGTGCCCAAAACTTCGCGACGGCGGAGGGCGGGATCTCCTTGGCGGCGCGCCAGGGGTGAGGGTGGGGCACGAACACGAACGACCAGGGCGCCATGGTCCTCGTGAACCCTTCCCCCCTCGGCCGTCGTCAGCCGGCCGGGTCCAGCTCGGAAATCCGGCCAGGACGCACTCCAGGAAGGAATCACAGGAGGGGTCCAGGGGGAGGGGGCGTTCCTGAAAGTCAGCACACTTTCCCGCAGCAACGTCCATGTGCTTCGACGCTATCCCTGAACGCTCGCGTGCGTGCCGTTCGCATCACACCCAAGTGCGCAAACCCGCTGCTGTCGTACCGCATCGGGCGAGCGGTGGACCCCGGCGGGCCCTCACCACCGGTCACCCCAGCGAAGAGTCCCTCTTCGGGAACGGGGAGAAGGTCTGATTCGAGCATGGTGATTTCGACGGCTGCTTGGGCGCCTCGGGTCTAGCGAAACACACATTGTCCATCGATCCCTTCTGGCAGCCTCCGAACTCTTACGCGTAGGGAAACATGAGGGAACTACTAACAATTACAGAAACAGAAAATTTTGGATGTCCCAGCGGATTTCTCGTATCGGCGCCAGGGCCACCTGGCGGCGCCTCTGGCGCTGCCCATGGCGCGCTCCGCGCGCCAGGGAGGTGGGTCCAGCGCCGATCCGAGAAGTCTGCACGGCCCCCCGAAAGTTCATGTTCCTGTTGCAGTCGGACCTAGGCCAGAAGAGTAGAGGAACAATAACTATGCACATACACCGATTTTGGCCAGGTCCATCCTGAGCCCAAGATCGGTGCATACGCCCTCCTGCCTTGGCCAGGCAGGCATATGCACCGATCCTGGGGCCAAGGATGGGCCTGGTCAGGACCGGTGCATGTGCATAGTTCTCTTCGCCCGAAAGAACATCCCCCAAGAACATGAGACCCTCCGAAGGCCAAAACGCACAGCACCTCCGCGGGTACCCTCCCCCCCGATGCTCCAGCACGTCCAACAAACACGAAGAGCATCAGGGTACCCTCCCTGAACGGGCCTTGATCTTACGCCTCGGTCCGGCTGCAGCGTCCCTTCCCCGACAAAAGGCTCGGGGGGGGCGAGAGAGAATCAATGATTGAAGGGGCCCTCGGAGACACACACACACACACACACACACACACACACACACACACACACACATGAATACACACAAATAAAACTATTCCCCTGATTTTCAAATTTTTGAGGGGTTTTCGTATTCCCCCCCACTTCCCATATTTTCCAATATTTTCTTGGGAATCGACGATTAATTGTTGTGTCTGTGTGTTCTTTCCCTCCTGAATGATGTCACGCCGCCGCGGGCCCAGGGCCCCGTCGGCGTGTTGTCACTGTCGACGTGCGCGGTCGTCTCCGGACGAGGGACGAGGGAGCAACACGCCGGACGGGGCCCTCGGGGGCTCCCGCGGCGGCGTGACATTGATACCCTTGTGAGCGTGTTTTTTTGTCATTCGGCGTTTCAGCATTTGGTGGAAACGGGGGGGAAGGGGGGGGGGTCTGGCTCCAGAACCTCTGCCTGGTGCGACCGTTTGCAAGTGTGCGGCATCTGGGGGGAGACCCCACCTGCTCGCAACAAACGCCACAAAAACAACCAAGATCTACTCCATGGGTTTACACGCCCGAAATGGGTACGGAAAAAGTTGTACAATGCCCAACAACAACTGTTGTCCCAAACAGCGGCCGCTGTTGGGCAGGCGGCCTTCTGTCTCAAATGGACACAGCCCGCGGCGGCGCGGACAGCGAGTCCTGTTCAAAACGAACACGAACTGCTGTTGGGCATTGTACCCACTCTCTCCAGACTCTCGTTCGTGCCGAATGGAGGGGGGGGAGGGGAGTGGCGAGGGCCCGGCCCGATCGGCAAAACGAGGGATGCCAAAAACGACCACCCTCCTCCCCCCCGAGAGGTGCCCGCCCCTCGGGCCCTCCTCGCAGCAGCTCGCCAGCGTGGCCAGCGCCCCGGAGGCGGCCACCCGCATCGCCCGGTCCTCCGAGTGGCCTCGGCGAGGCGCCCCGCCCCCGCCCCCGTCGCAGCGCCCGCCGGCACAGGGCGCGGCGCTCCGTGCCATCGCTCCCCCCGCCATCGCTGGGGCGTTCGGGAAGGGACCCCGGGGACGCACACAAACGGGTGAGCACAGGAGTCCCAGGGTCGCCCCATCCGTTTCGTGCACGTTCTGGGTCTTCGCCTTCCCCCCCGCCACTTCCTTCCCACAGTCTCCCACAACTGACCTTGGGAATCGACGGTGCATTGCGTCTCGTTTTTTTTTGGTTGCTTCTCCTGAACTCCCCGTTCACTGTTGGGTATCGTTTTTTGGTTTTGAACTATAATCAAGTATCAACACATTCACACAGATGTGCACACGCATATAAATAGTTTGAACGTATTTACACATATATACACGTACCTGTACGTTGACCCATGCATACATACGTATATACACGTATGCTTGCATGCACACATGCGTGTATGCACGTATGCATACATCCGTACATACATGCATACATTACACTACATGATAGCACATTCATGTACATTGCAATCAATTACTTTCCATTCCATTCCATTACATTACATTACACAACATTCCAACACATAACATTACCGTACACGACATTACATTGCATTGAAACATACATACACACATACACACCTACATACATACATACATACATACATGCATACATACATACATACAAACATACATGCATACATCCCCACATCCCTACATACATACATACATACATACATGCATACATCCCGACATCCCTACATACTACATGCGTACATACATACATAATATATTCATACACAGATACATGCATACTCAAGCACCCATACATGCAAGCAACTATACATACATGCAAATATACAACCATACGTATATACGTGCATACGTACATGCGCACATACATTCATACACACATACACACATACGTACATACGTACATACATACATACATACATACATACATACATACATGCATCCATCCATCCATCCATCCACCCATCCATACATACATACATTCGTACATACACATACATATATATACATGTATATACATACATGTATATATTGTTTCGCGCGGTGATCTGGGGTGCTCCTCGGTGGTCCTCGCCGAGATCGGAAGCACGCGCCCAGACCGCTGCCAGCAGCCCCTCGCCCCAGAGACCCGAGAGACCCCTCCGGGGGCCAAGATTGGATTGCTCCCATCGCACTCCAGAAATATTGCAGTCCTCCACTTCGCAAAACATGGCATTTCGCAGTATAGGCTCTCATTTATATGGGTCGAAATGGGACGGGGCGTATATAGGGGGCGAAATGCGAGTGACGTGCTCCGGGACCCAGGACCACATCCCAGAAATACTTTCGAGCACCAGGAGAAGTGTCGAGCGAGTGTCGAAACAGTGTCGGACGAGTGTCTCCCAGGGCCCGACGCGTGAAAATTCTGGAGTTTCTGTATTTTGTGGAGCTCGAACTTCTTTCTGGTGATGCCCGGAGAGGGCACAGGAGGCACACAGAAGAGAAGCGCGTCGAGACGACCTCGCACGAGGGCCCCTCGGATCGGAAAGCTCCCCGAGGCCCGGCAGTTCTGCAGGGGATCTGCCACAGGGGAACGGACAATGAAA